TTAAAACATCTCGGTGGTTCATTGCACTTTCCAAAGTGCTGTTTTGAGCAATTGGGACATCTAGGTGCCCCCGAGTTTTGTGGTCTAGGTCCGTGCCACCTCACGTCTCTATTCCTCTTTGCCGGTGGAGCCGGTGCCTTGAATGAGCCACCACCACCACCACCACCGTGGTTGTTCCTTCGGGAATGATCGGGCGGCCCCGAGCTATTCCACTTCCTCTTCTTTGCCTCTTCGGCATCTCTTGCTTTCCTTTCATTCCACTGGGCCTCTCCCAGCATGCCCTGTTCTACCACCTCACTAAAAGTCATGAGGCGTGAGTATGTAGCACGATCTCGAATGTCTAAAAGTAAGGCATCCCAAAAGTGCTCAGTCATGCGGTCCTCATCGATCGCATACTCCGGTAAGAACCTAGCCAAGGTTCTAAACTCCTGCTCCAGCTGCTTAACAGTGCAATCCTCTTTCTGCTTGAGGTTGGTATACTCCCTCCTTTTCACATTAACCTCGAAATCGGAGTAGTATTGGGCATAAAATTCCTGCTCAAAATTTTCCCATGAGATGTTCCCACGGTATTTCCCTTCTACACCTTCCCACCATGTAGAAGCCATCCCCTCAAGTAACCGTGAAGCGACGGTTAGCTTCACGTCCGGTGTAATTTGCATGTCTCTCGATGCATCCTTCACCTTCTTGATCCAATCGGCGGCAATGGTAATGTCGCCGGTGCCATCGAAGGACCTACACCCCAAGGCCCTAGCCTCCTTAAGGTATTTGGAGATTCTCACCACAAAACCTCCCTCAGGCCCACCTTGTGGCACCACAGGTGGGGCCCTTGAAGCTCCCCGGCTTCCTTGAGCCGAAACACCTTGTGAGGCACGCCTCGCTTGGCGTCTCATGTCCCTCCTCTGTTTCTCCTTTTGATACCACTCCAGAAGTTCCCCCATTTGGGCAAACCGGGCATCACTCTCATCATCATTGTCATCATCGGTGTGAAAATCACCCCCATCGTATGGGGTCTCCTCGTGCTCCGTTTCGGGAACATAAGTAGAGTCGTAGTTCTCGGTGTTAGTCTCATACACCGAACTCACGTGGCCATTACTCACTGTATGGGCTTGGTGGCCCCCACGACTCCCACGGCCTCCATGGCCTCCTCTTCCACCCCTTGAGCCACGAGGTGTGGCCCGGCTAGCCCCAACCGAAGCTACCGGTGTTTGCCCCCTCGGATTGTTCCTTGTCCGCATACGTCTACCTTCCATTTCTGAAAAGGAATTTTGGACGAGTCGTTAGACTCCAATCAATGTCAATTGACGGAAAACGTTATAGACACATATTGGCCCAAGTCACCGCCATACCAATTGTTAAGGGTACCATCTTAACAACTAGAGACCTTGCAACCTTGGTAACAATAGTTCCATAAGCGTCAAAATACAATGCTCATGGTTTTCGGTAAAACTCTTTTGTAGAATCTCTTGTGAGAGGTTGATTACATAGTTTAGAAACTGAGATGGCTCTGATACCACTTAATTGTCACGCCCCAGACCGCATCTGAGCGCGTGTACAACCGCCGTATGACTAAATGACGTCACCCGCGAGTCAACGTAACTTAGTCAAACAAGGCGTCCATGAACATAGTCCATACCATACTCAGTAAGTAAACATACATAACAACATCACATATTAGGATTGAACGAATAGCGGAAATATTCAATATTCAATCGTGGGCCACACATGGCCAAAACGTAGGCACGCAGGCCCAAAACAAATGTATTTATTACAAAATATCCATGAGCATAGTTTATAGTTTGAAAACAATAAAGGAAGCACGAACAACGTCTCCCTTTGGATCACTTCACCGAGCAAGGTGAGAATAGCGACTTGAGCTTCAACCTGAAATGGTGGGGCCCCCCGAAGGGGTCAGTACAAGTACCGAGCGAGTAGCAAGCTAAATGTAGAATAACTAACGTTTCAAGTATAAGACCCAAACATAGGGTGATACATACACGTATAGTCTTTCCCCCAAGTTTTGAAATACATATTAGTATATATACACTTGGAAATACCCGACCCGTAGGTCATTGTTTATTTGGGAAAATAGTAGAAGCCAATGTCCTTGACTTAAATCCCAACCCACCCATATACCTATGAGTGTATAGAACTCCTCCTTGTTCAAATAAATTATCATAAGGACACCTCCCGGCCCTAGATCATTAAATGTAATCTATGAGTTTTGAGGATACACGCCCGATCCTTGGGTACTCCACCCTATAACCGAATTTTGAGGATAACCGCCCGATCCTTGGGTACTCCACCCTATATAACCGAGTTTTGAGGATAACCGCCCGATCCTTGGGTACTCCACCCTATAACCGAGTTTTGAGGATAACCGCCCGATCCCTGGGTACTCCACCCTATAACCGAGTTTTGAGGATAACCGCCCGATCCCTGGGTACTCCACCCGACCTATGACTTACCACATATCACACTAGATAGGGTCTATATCATATCTTACTAAAGACTAAACCAAGTCTTAGAATTTAAATCAATGGATACCAAACCTTGACATTTAAATATCATATTCCATGCAATTCCATGCATAATATACTTATATAGGATGGCCGGGGTTAATCCCCTCTTCGAACCGGACCTCAAACCGCATTTTCGGCAAAAATGGATTTTGGAGGCAGCAGCTTAACCGGTGCCGGTTATGCCCTCTAACCGGCGCCGGTTAGGTTCGGGACCTTGGGTCAACGGTCCGTTGACCCCCGAGTTGACCCCCGAATCGAGCTCCGTTTGGCCCGAAATTTTTACACAACTTATACCATGTCTAGAACAACCAATAAATGCCATTTTGGTCATCCAAAACATCACAAATATTTTTATACATTTTTTCATATTCTTCACATGGATAATCATGTAGTTTTATTCACATAAGCCTAATTACCTAGGCTAATTACATGCTTAAGCTCCTTTAAACATCATTATGAGTACTTATAACATTTATTTAGGTAATCTCATACTTAACCCAAGAGTTATAAGACATTAAGCCATCCACTCACCTCGAATGAGCGTTATGAAGTTCTACCCTTCTCGGTTGAACTCCGGCGAACTTTGACGGATTCCGGCGATAACTCCGGCGACTCTTTCAACTTTGTGAAAGCTCTTAAATCACCCTTGACAAGTGCCTAACAAGGTTTTATCATCACAAAACCCATATCAAAACAAATAACCTCTAAAAGGTTACTTTCCGGTGAACCGGTCTCTTTGGCTTCTAAGTCCGTTCTTGGACTTAGAACCACCTTTCAACCCATTGTTCTACACTTTGGGTATGTAGAACCATCCTAGGGGTTATTCATATGATAAATATATCATATGGTAGAAGAAAAATAAAGGAAAAGTTATGATAAGGTTATTACCTTAATTTTCACACTTTTTCCTATCTTTCTCCTTCTAATCCTCTTCCTTGAGCTCCTTGCTTGTTTAAGCTTCCTTGGCTATGGAGATGGAGGTTTTTCAGAGCTATTTCTCTCTCTCTTTGGGGGCTGGGTCGAGCTAGTGATTGGGGTGGGAGTGAGGAGACCTTCCTCCTTGTCTTACTTAGCAAATAAGTGTGGGAGTGAGGTCCACACTTATTTGATTCCAATTGAATCAACCAGCCAACCTCCCTATGACATTGAGCAGCCCTCCCTTGTCTCAATGGCTCAAAAAACGTGGGGTGGCCCCCACTCATGTGGGAGGTCATCCCATTTTGTCCCGACGTGTACAATTGACCCCGAAAGTTGTATTTCTCGGACTGTTTTAATTATATTTTATTTTACCGGGTCAAATAAAATATATTACATGTTCACAATCATTATGGATCTTAAAAGTGAATATACATTCCCCAACTTTACGTTAAAAGCCTCCGAAATTCATTTCGGACTGTTATCTAATAAATTGCCGGTACCGGTAATTGGGCTCTGTTTGACCAACATGTCAACCCAATACCTTTCTTATGGCCCAACATGAATTTCCACCACCATATAACTATTATCTATACCAAGATGAATATAATATGTGGTCTCGTGTTACCGGGTTACCCCTGCTCCGAGTGTGGGCCCCGCGTGGAATTTACTTTTCGCGCAAAAGGAATAACAAAAAATTTACAACCTCGTAAATTCATTACTGGATACGCCATGTTCAATACATAATTTACGTAAAGGTAAATATATTTGGGGACGGTGTTACATAAGTCCACAATCGTGGAGCCCCCAGGGAAACTACAATACCCCGAGGGCAATGTCATGCAACTCAACAACCTTTCCTAACCTTGCATTTTGGGGCCTATCCGGGGAGATCTAGTCCACATGAAGGCTTAATATTCGAGGACCTAACTTTTCTGCCTTGCCTAAGACCACTAAATGCCGAGGGCGTAGCCTTACAACTTCTCCGCACTTTGCTGAGGTCACTACAAAGGAGAATTCGCTTGGCTCACTAAGGCCGAGGGGGATCAAGAGACCTATTGAAACAAGTTGGAAACGAATCTTTGTCTCTAACAAATGGAGGCAGAATTCTACCGGGGGCTATCCAACCTCCGTGGCGGATTTCTTTTAAAAAAATTCTAAGTCCACAATTATCAATCCCCCGGAGAAACTACTACACGCCGTAGGCAATCCCATGCAACACTCACCGGGAACTATCAAAGGAGTGGTTTGCCCGAAGGCTCCGTTATGGATTTTTTACTTGGAAAATTTCTAAGTCCACTACAGCTGGAAGATTACTTGACCCACTCTACCCGAAGGCTGGCCCCAAGATTTGTGGAAACCATCTCAAACTCTTTATAAGTCTACAAATGGGACCCTTCGGCTGAGTGGTAAGGAAATTGCAAATTCACAATAATGGAGGCAGAAGTCAACCGAGGGCTCACTCCCTAAGTAAGCAAAATACTTAGAAAATTTTCTAAGTCCACAAATTTTTGGCCTTCGAACAGACATGTGAAAGAAAGCAAAACATACATTCATATCACACAGCCCGAAGGTGCACCATTCATTCAAAGAAAACATTCAAGTACAAAAGATGTTTGGTTTACATACATGGCCAAAGCCGGAGGAATACAAAGCTATTACAAAAAATATGAGCTAAGGAAAATTTCCTGTGTCAACTTGTTTGGCATCCCCTTGAGCGACCTTCGAGGCAGCGTCATCCCCGGCCTCCTCTTCATCATCATCGTCACACCTTGGAGCTCAGAGTCCTCTAGCAGCTGCCTCTCTTCGCCCGGAGGAAGGGGAATCCTGACATCCGGCTGGAGGGGAGGTAGTCCGTAGACATCGGGCTTGAATTGCTTCGGGTCCACCCCGAAATGCCGGGCTAGTTTCCGGTCGATATTTGCTTGGGTGAAATATTCACCGCCTTCGTAATAGCTCTTACCCTTCCGGGCAAGCCATAAAGCACCGGGGCCTGCTGCCCAATCATTGACCGAAGCCTCCACGACTGAGGCTAGCCATTGCTTCTTGTCCTCGGCCCTCCACCCATCAGCAACAAAGGCGGATACGGCATCCTTCTCGGCCAGAGTGACGGCCTCCCTCTTGGAGGTCTCGGCGGCCTCAGCAGCTGCTTTGGCGGTGGCCGCGGCGGCCTCCTCAACCTCATTCTTGCCCTCGGCCTTGCCCTCGGCCTTGCCCTCGGCCCTGGCCTCCACTTTGGCATCCCTCAGCCTTTGCTCCACTCCCTCGGTTGCTAGCCAGAGGGTCTCCTCCAACTCCGCCATCTTCCGGGCATAGGTGGCATTCTGGGCGACGAGTTTCTTCAGGGTCTCGTCAGATTCCGCCTTCTAGAGGCGCAATTGCTCCACCCTTCGGATATGCTCCCCGAGGGCCACGCTAGCCTACAAGCAAACAAGTAAAGCACAAGGGGTCAGACTAACATGCAAGAAAAATGCCAAGGATAATTGAGTAAGGATGGAAGCATGAGGGACTTACCGTGACGGAAGCATGAAGGATCTTTGAATTGAGGACATCGTCCTCATATCGACCAAGCACCGACTTGTCCAGCGAAAGGGTGGCACCCCTCAGGAACTCCATCGGATCCAGAGTGCCGTGCATAACGGCAGTCCCCTTCTTGATGGAGAACTGCACGTTCTCCCAGGGCCAGGCCCCCTCTCCTACCTGATCCGGGAGGGGGCGGGAGAGACCACCACCACCGGAGTGCCGGAAGTTGAATGGCCCTCAGAGATAACTACAGGGGCACCCTTAGCCCCGACGGTCTTCTTAGCCTTCTTGCCGAGGGGAGCGACGCCTTTCCCCAGCGCCTTCCTCTTTGCCGCCTCGGTTTGGAGGGCTCCGGTTTCAGCGTCGGCGGCATCTACATTCCTCGAGGGCCCTTCCTCCCCCGAAACATGAGCAGCATCTCCCTTCAGGAAGAAGTCATCTACAGGCCTCTGCTGCGTAGGAGCCTCCTTCTTCTTGGGCTCCTTGCGAGCTGTTTCTTCAACTTGGCGAAGGCTTTGGCGTCCATATCCGGGCCTGCAAAAGAAAGAAAAAAGTACAAGTGTCATGTTACAACAACAAAACAAGGAACGAAAAAATCCTAAGTACAAAACTAGGAGCCTTCGGCAATCACCTCCGACACTTTCGTACACTCGGTCTATCGGAGGGTATTTCTCATCAGTCTCCCCCACCAATCGGAATCGCCGGAAGCCCAACAGGAGCAGCTCCTCCGGGAGAGTAGCGTCCTTGACCGTCTTTAGTCTTTCGGAGGCCGCCGGCTTAGTTGTTAACTTCTTCCCCTCCTTCGCGAGAAAAGCATTCCCTACCTTTGGGTGCCTCCGGAAGTTATCGCGGAGAGGAGCAGGGAAGGGGTTCTCCGCCATACGGATGAAGCAGAACTTGTCCTTCCATCCTTTGTGGGATGAAGGGACCTCAGAGAACAGCCTCCATTCGGGGACCTGTTAGAGATTGGCGAAGCCCTCGCTATTAGCGTGCACCCCCCCCCCCCCCCCCCGGCAGAGATTGAAGGACATGAAGAACTGGTCCAACGAGGGCTCCACTCCCCTCTCCCGACACAGCGAGAGGAAACCTGCCAAATATGAATGGCTGTTCGGGGTGATCTGACAGGGGGCAAGCTTGACGAAACGCAGGTACTCCAATACGAAAGGATGGAGTGGAAACCGGAGACCCAACTCCACGGACAAGATGTGTACCGCGAAGCAGCCTTCGGGGGGCGTAGTAACACATCATCTGGTCTCGGCTCCATCACCTGCGCCGAGGGCCCGGCGAAAAACTGTGTCACCATGTACTCCGCATAGGTGGCTTTAGTCTTCACCTCTAAGGCAGCTGTGTTGAGGTAGGAATGCCCTTCGGGTATTCCAACGGGTTGACCCGCGTCGACAGCAGCCTGCTTCTTCTTCGGAGCCCCCCTGATCTTCTTCTTCTTCTTGCCGGGAGCCACACTGAGAGGTTCCAGATCAAGGGGCATAGAGCTTCCGGCCTCGGCGTCGTCGCGAAGAGGCAGGACAGCAACAGTGACTTGCTGCCTTTCCTTCTCTTCCTCCTCCTCGGCGACTTGGAGAGCGAGAGCCATCTCTTCATCTTCAGCGACTTGCTCGAATTCCTTCGCCTCCAACTCCGTCCGAAGGTTGCCCTGGATCTCTTCGGCCACAGCAGCATCATCTCCAGCCGAGGGCTGTTCACTCGATGACTCTACGTCGGAAATGCTCTCGGAGGCTACTGAGGCCTCCTTCGAGATATTTTGGGAATCGCTCTCGAAGGACATATTTTCAACGAAAGGGTTTCGAGGAAGAGTTTCTAAGTTCTAAGGGCCCTAAACACTAGATCTAGGACAAGTAGGGCAGAGCACGGGTCGGGTTCGGGCGGGTCGGGTTCAAAAATGGTAAACCCGTTTGGGTATCGGATTGATAATTTCAAACCCTACCCGATCAAAACATTTATCGGGTTTTTCGGGTTGAAGAAGTTCGGGTTGAAAAAGTTCGGGTTTCGTTCGGGTTGGTTCGGTTTTCGGGTCCATTCGGATTTTAATTTATTATTGTTGAAATTGTGATAAATAAAATGGTAATTGGTAAAAATATCATTCAAAGTTATACTAATATAACATTCAAAGTAATAGTTGTATAAATACGGTAATCGACATATTTGAACATGTGAAATAATAATATACGGTGATTGGCATATTTGATATTGTGATAAATAAAATGATAATTGGTCAAAATATCATTCAAAATCATAACAATACAACATTCAAAGTTGTAGTTTTACAAATACGGCAATTGGAATATTTGATATGCATAATATGGTAATTGGCATACAATAATTAAGATATTTGAACATGCATAATAATTCAAAGTAGTATATATACCCCAGTTCGGGTTTTCGGGCGGGTCGGGTAGCATAATTGGTAACCCTACCCGCTACCCTCTTAACTCTTGGGTTGCAAAAATCGGATTGGGTTTGGGTCATTCGGGTCGGGTTATCCGACCCAAAAAATAAAATCGGATATATCCGATCGGGTCAATCGGGTAGGGTCGGGTTTGCTCTCCCCTAAGGACAAGGAAGCAAAGTATGCGGAAAAATTGAAGAACAGAGGAAGAACTGACCTCGGAAGTTCGGTTTGATCGAAGTGATTGGTTTCTCTCTCTATAAATATTTTGCCAGAGCTTCGCTTATGTATGAATCACGCAAGCCAAATGAGCTCAGCCAAGGGGTATTTATAGGCTCCTCAACCAGGGTTAGCCTCGAAACTGGGCCTCGGGTTAAAAGCCCATCATTAAAGGCCGCGGTTTCCGCCAATGGGTGGCACCCGCCCTCCTCCGGCCAACGGACGCATGCCACGTGGAACGCTTCTCCAACGGTCATATCCCAACGGCTATATTCTGAGACGCCAAGGTGGCCTCAGCTGGCACCCTTCGAAACACATGTCTTCGGGTCCCACATGCCTCCGAATAAAAGCAATATACGCCTTCGGCTTATCACACATTATCAACCCCTCATCCGAACATACCCTCGGACCTAAACATCACTTTTAACTTCTTCAGCCCGAACTTGCCTTCGGTCTAAAGGAGTGGGGGACTGGGAGAAACCCTCGGGGAACTATAAACAAAAAAGACATTGACAAATAACACATGTAGCCTCCCGGCAAATTAAGAAACAAAACCCCTCGGGTATACATAGTCAATACACCCTTCGGGAAAACACAAATTGTCAAAATATTACAGAGGTACCAAAGATGACAAGGCAGCCTTCGCCGCAACACACGCGAGCAACGCATTTGCACCACATCAGGAAACCCTCAGCCCTCGACATGTGGGGGACTGAGGGAACGCCCTCGGCAAATATCCGGGAACAAAGAATATAAGGCACCCAACAAAACAGGGAAGCCTTCGGGACAATCACCACAATTACTCCTTTTCCCTCAAGTACCTTTCGGCAAAAGGAGTGGGGGACTCCTGATGGAGTATATGGCCCGGGGAACCCCATCCCACAGACTCCTACTTCTCCCACACAGGCCCATCAAGCCTAATGATCACACGAAGCCCAAACACGGCGGCCCAAGTGTTAAAAAGCCCACGACGCACATATGGGTGCCTTCGGCCCTATGGCCGAGGGCTCCAAATTCCACAGAACAGCTAGATTTGAGCATACAAAGCTACTGAGAGAAAACGACAGAAATCGGAAGCCTTCGGCTCGTAGGCGCCCTCGGCATAAGGGTAGCCTTCGGGACAACAGAGCCTTCGGCCACAGGAGAGCCTTCGGCTACAGCACACTCATCGAAGATTCCCTTGGGGGACAGACAACCACCGCATTTAATGCGGCGTCACATCCACCCACCGCATTTAATGCGGTGCACATGCGAATGTCGGTGCCACCCCGATTAAGGTAACCCATCGGCCGTTAGATTGTTGACATGTGTACTCTCATTGCATTTATGGCTGCTATAAATAGCAGCCCTTATGCTCCTTGTAAAGCACGCTGAGATCATTTAATACATCTGACTCTCTCTCTTACTTGTTTGCTCTGACTTCTATCTAGTTATTATACGCAATAACCCCTCGGATAAGCTACCCCCGGGTACACTATCCATCACTCCCTTTTCATCAATCAATTTGTGGCTCCTATTATTTCTCTCTTCTCTGCATAAATTTTTACAACACAGTTTTTACTTTATAATTCTACGTGTTGGTCGAATATGGCAAATCTTTAAGGGACTGGGGGAGTAATATTTAAAAGTTTTGAAAAGGAAAATAAAATTCATGACACCTTAGGTCCTAAATTGATAGTTTTCAATCATTCGGGTCATAAATTGATATTTTTCCATCATTCGAATCCTATATCGATACATTTCATATTTCAGGTCCGAGATTTATAATTCATCTATCTTTCAGGTCTTGGATTAATAAAATTCCTTCATGAAATGAGGATCAAAAAATTCAAAAAAATCATTTAAAATCTTTACTATGCTCAACTTTTCATTTGTGTGTGCTCGTATTAGTGAAACTACGTATATATCTACAATGAAATTGTCGTTCGATGTCGTAAACTCGCCAAAAATCGCTATCTTTGAAGTTGGGGTTCATCGCTCGTCGCCTGTGGCTTGAATCATTCGCCAACTGCAGGAACTTGCCGGTCCGTTGCTCGTCGGTAATCACTGGAGCCTGCTCGCGACTCGTCCGTTGCCAGAAATCTCCGTCGATTTCCGCTCCCCGTCCATTGTCGATACTGGAGGTTAGTCGTTAACTCGCCGCTTGGATCTACGCCCGCCAATGGAGGTTGCTGCCAGTTGCTCGTGGCTGGAGGTCATCTGTCGTCCTTGTAGGTCAATGTTGTTGGGAGCTCATCGTTTTTCGTTGAGGGAAAAAAAGACTGATTGTACCATGTGCACGGTACAGTCGGATATACGATATACTTTACGGAAATAATGAAGTCCATAGACTAACTCATTCGTAGTGAGTATGGGTAGATCTAGCATTGGCATTGGGGGAGGCGGGCAAAAATTTAATTAAATAGTGTTTATTGCAAAAAAATGTTAAAATGTAATAAATAATATGTATATATCAAAATCTATTTACAAATATAAAATAACATTTGTTGCAACAAAAATGTCAAAGAATAAAAAAAGAATAAAAAAATTTGTCAAAGTGAAATAGAAAAAAAACTCAAATTTACAATTATTCTTAAGAGGTTCTCATGAACGGATATTGCCAAATTAGATGAAAAGATATTAATATATGTTTTCAGGTCAATTTCTCGGAAATCAAGTAAAATCAATTTTCTTTTTACTTATAATCTATACACTATAAAATAATTGAACTAATTTTAACCTAACAATCCCAATGAAGTAAACTAATTAGTTTTTATTGGCTATTGAGATTGTTGTTAAACTTGTACAAATTCATGGCGACCAGGTTTAAATTGAAAAGGAATTTATATTACTCCCTCCGTTCTCTAATACATGTCTCTCTTTCCATTTTTGTGAAGTTCTCTAATACATGTCCCTCTTTCCATTTTTAGAAAGTTTTTTCAAAAAATATACTCATATACCCTCATTCTCTTTCCTACTTTTTCATTCTCTTTCCTACTTTTTCCTTTACACTCAACCCACTACACCTTTTACACTACCCCATTATTTTCCCCTTAAAACTTGTGCCAAACTCTATACTCCCATCTATTAGAGAACGGAGGGAGTATGTCATACTTTAAAAGTATAATATTACATTAAATTCACATATTGGATTCATAGTGGTTCATTGTAGATATTTTAACAAATACTCCGTAATAAAAACAAACTGAATTATAAAAATATGAAGTCGATATCACGATGCTCATTATTACGCTCAATATACAATAGAATGGATTTGATGCTCAGTAGAAGTACATTAATTCTCATTTAACAAAAACCACGATTTTCACTTAATTTACAATAATGCCACCAATGTGCGGCGCTTCCCATTATTTCTATCTTCGATGGGTAACCCGCGGTGTCTTGCATTAGTAATAACGTATTGGTGTACTGGGAATAAAACAGATGCCACACTCTCCTATGTTGCACGGGTACAAATACGTTGATACGCCAATACATAAATACGGGTCCGGCGATATAGTAACTTTAAAATTTATAGGATACGGGTACAGGAGTATACTTATAAACAATAATAATGATAATAATAATAATACAGGGTATAATCTGGAAGTATGTATAATTTAAAGGTTCATAAATAAAATAATAATAGTACCAAAAATCAACAATTATATAACAATTCAAAGATTACTAAAAAACTAAAGTATTGATATTTCAATTTAAATTCAAATAATATTTGATTTACATCTATTCACCAAGCAATAGATTGGCAAAGGTATTGAACTAATTTGTCCTATAAGTAGATTCAATAGATTGAACTGATATTGCCAAAATAATTGAACTAATCTTCACCTAAAGTTTCACAAGACTGGTTCAATTAAAGTTCATTAAGCAATAGATTGGCAAATTCAAGCATTCCAATATCTTCTGTACTCCCAAAATCTTCTTAACCAATATTTCACATCTTGCGGTCGCTTGAGTGGTTACTATATTCTCATCAAATCGTGCATAAAATTGGGCTTGCATGGTTAGATACGTGTATCAGAATTATTTATATTTTTAAAAATAAGTATAATAGTTTTTTGGAATTACGGATACGGACCCAATAGATGTCACCCTCAATGGAGCCTCCTCTCTAATTCCTCTCAACAGAGACTTCATTATGGAACCGATGCCTCATCAGTAATGATCCATTGATCCCCGCTCTTGCATGTATCGCCCATAAATATTGGAACAACATGACCACAACTACAACTACAAATACATGTATGGGAGATGCAATCCAAGAGTTGGGATCATTGGGGATGGTTTCCAATCAGTCAATCAATCAACTAGGTGTGTCTAACTTAGTAGCCAAAGTTCATCTGGCCATACTGCTTGTCATCTATATATAGAAAGAACCTTACTCAGAATCCACCAAAATGCAGTGCAACACGGCAACGTAGTAATACTATGAACCGAGGGTACAACTATTGCTGCTAGACATGCTAACACATGTCGGCTGATAGCACCAAAATAGATCATTCAGAATTTAGTTTAGATATTAACTTCCTTCAGAAAAGTCATTTGGAAAAAGCAAATTTGGTAGCTCATTTGATCAGAAAGATAATTAATCTCGCTGCTAGTCTTATTTCATTTTTTACTTCTAAACTGTATTACAGGGGGTTGAGTGGAAAAATATAATGCATACTTTAAGACAATCAAGGGTAGATTACAGGTGATGCTCTGATACAAACATATCAAATGCATAAAACAACACAGCTGTGTGACAAACACGTTTTACCATTATTGCTTTTTTTAAAGTTGAATAACATGTGATAGATTTCCTGAACAAATGTAATGCCTTACGGGCTGTAAAAGTAGTTCGCTAGTATCTTAACGATGCAGAGTACAACATATAGTCTGGTTGATTAGTAGGCAACTAGTAGGCATTATATGATATGAAAAAACCAGTGCCCATACAAACAGTGGCTTTTAGATGCTGTAAGAAAATCCACATTACAGCCTTAAACATCCATTTCTATGTTTAGTTCTTATGTGCATTAAGCCTTTCAAATAGTGATAGTTATAAGCTTTCACAGTAACAAACAGGTAACAACAGTTTTAGATGAACTGTTCTAAATAGTAATCTAGATATATATCCTAAAAAAAGTATGAGATGCCAAATTCTTTTAGGGCGTGATTGGTTTGGGATTTTGGAGAGGTGGGAACGGTGGCGGACCCAGAAAAAGAGAGTCATGGGGTCCTTGTCTAAATGTCATTCTAATTAATATAAAATTAAACAAATAACATGATAAACAAATAAGATGGTGGAAAAAATGCCGTATCAATCTTAAAATGGATATAATATGGTAAACAAAATATAGCATCTGAAAACCCTATTCCTAAAACACGATCACCACCAACTTCTCACTCATTCTTAAACAAATAACAAGAATCAAAATGCAGCATTTTTGGCGATAGTGTATTTGAATCATTAATGCTCATCAAACCAACTTCAAACAAATCTACGTCTTTTGCCGCCAGTTACCTTAAAAGGGAAATCATGATTCCGATGGTGAAACGATCCTTTTTTTAGGTAACTGCGACGTACTTCGTCTTGAATATTAGGATGAAAATCAAGATTTTTCCTCTTAATCTAGTATCAGCTTCTAAACATTCAAAATCAACATGTTGTGTGTGTAAATTATAAGCCAAATTAGTATCACTTTCATCAATTACTTTATCCAATTCTTCTTTTACTAATGACGAATCATTTGCATTAACATCTTAACTACTCTCGATACACCAAATTTCTTTAAATCTGTGTACACTATTGAAATATCTTTTCATCCTATATCGTAAAATATTGAAAAAGCATTCATAAATACACAAATTTAATAAGAGAACATTCTCTAAATAGGACTAAAACATGGATAAAATTCATAAATATGAAAATCAATGTGTAATTCCCAAAATAGGATTCATTCAAACAAATGAATTATGCCAAAAAAAAGGAGTTTACAGTTTACACCTTGCTGGGAATCGAACCCTGCACCTGCAGGGCTAGAAGAGGGACTTGAGCATTCTCAAACTCCCGTTCCGCTGCTGAAGTCGTTCAGTCCACAGTTGTCATGGCGCATGGCGATCGCCATGGCTCAAAGGCATTTTTCATGGCACATGGCGATGGCGCATATACGAACGGCGCATATAGCGCATATGGCGCTATGGCGACGACTACTTTTTCATGGCGATGGCGCATATGGCGCGCGCCATATCTAGCCATTGACTACTATGGACTTCAGTCCATTTGGCGCTATTGTTGGAAATATACATTTACTAATTAATTTTATTAAAATATAAATAATATATATAGGTATTGTTTTGGAAGTCCACGGGGTCCCGGGACCCCATGGGACCCTTAGTGGGTCCGCCATTGGGTGGGAAGGAGGTCAGGGGAAAAAACTGTATGTTTAATTAGATTACAGATTTATATATAGTTTTTCATCTTCATTTTCTTCCAATCATCTAAATGCAAGAATGATATAAAAATCAATATCACTCCTCCCCAAACACCCATTTGAAAGCCCAAAACCAAACAAGCTCTAAAACAAAAAATAAGAACAATACTGGAATTAAGTCATTGGTGAATTCAAAATCAAAATTCATATGTACATTTAACTACAAATTTTACTACAGCTATAAAGCCTATAATCGTTGGCAACATATGAAATGCAAATGTGTTTGCACGTAAACTATGACTACCTGATAAAAGAAACGAAGTGAGGAACTGTTACAACTCAGGATCTGTGATTACATATATTACCTCAAAATTTGAAAGCGGAGTACTATACCAAAGGTGTACATCTTATTTGACAACCAGCAACAGACTAAAGGGGCCACGAAGAAAATTACGATATTATGTGAATACCTGTACTCCAGGAACATAGAAAAATCAAGATTATCATATGAAAAGCACTTATTTCAATACAGAAAACAATTCAAGTATTTTTTTCAAAATATGTTTGATATGACACTTGAGTTGGTTAGGTTTGCCACCACACATAAACACAATAAACAATCCATATGCATCAATGCATGTTAAAAGTTCACATTGACTAATAACACAAGATCAAGCAGAATATTCAAACTTTTAGATCAATCATGAACTACATTCTTAAAAAAACATTGCCAAATATATGATGTATAGACTAGTGGAAGTAACAGCCAAGAATGATACAGTCATTTTTTAAAAATCAGGCAGATCAGAATTTGGTTAGGTAAAGGAAAACTTATTCAACGCTATGAAACTTGCTTCTGCCAATAGCATTTTGTACTTGATACTTGTTAACAGAACTACATATCATTAGTCAATTTCTTTTATAGGATGTTTGATCATTTAGCTTTGTTCTGTTTCAAGTGTTTTATAGGTCGTTGGAAAGATTTTATCGAGTTCTAAAACTCGTATTCAGATTTCATTTGATAGGAAGTTCGATGTACTACTTTGCTCTGCTTACCCAATCACATATTCAGCATTTCCTTATCAATGAAAGAGACCATGCTTAACAACCAAAACTTGCAAAGCACTTTGAAGCATAATAAGGGAGGGGGCAGGCCAAACAGGATGTGATAAGATATGGAACAGCACAAAAGTTCAAGCATATCTCCAAAATCACTTCAACACTGGCATGGCCTCTGTTTTTCCTAGCTAACATGAACTAAAATGGTTCTGCACTGCCAGTCATGCAAACAGCTTCAGTTTCCATTTTTTAGTTTTTATTACACAAAGCATCCAAATCAGGATAAAATTTAAAAACAAAAACATAGTTCAGAGTTAAAATAGCATATTTACAAAAATACCACCAAAATCTATACTGCAACTACACTTGAATAAGATACAGAGTAATCAAGAGAGAGGTTGGTTAGTGGGATTGTGTGAGTGACCATACTTGTCATGGCGGTAAGTCGAGTCGCGGCACCAGCGACCGCCATATCGCTAGGCGATACGGCGCTCGCCTAGGTGACAATTAGGTGACTAGTCTCACATTATGTAATATATTATACTCCGTATATAATTACATAATATGTATAATATATTACTAATTAAATTGTACTATGCATATAACTTAGAATTGAAACCCACAATTAATAATTGAAAACAAGGTTTATTAATGGGATATAAGTGTAAAAATGTTTGTCTCAAATAATATGTAATTATATATATATAATAATTTTATTATTAGTTTAATAGTTTAATATTTATAACATAAACGCCCTCCGTCCCGCTAAGATTGTCCCATTTTACCTTTTCGGTCCGTCCCACTAAGATTGCCCCATACCAAATTTGGTAAAGTTTGTGTGGTTCTAAATCATTCTTACTTTATTCTTACTTTTCAATTCAATATCAACCACATAAATCACTTTATATTGGTTTGTGTGCCACCTTCTCTTGTCCCATTGTTAGTGGGACGGAAGAGTAGTATATTAATAATGTACAGAGCATATAAGCAGCTCAGCATGTGCAGCGTGTTTAATTGTTTATACAATACAAAAGTATATACCTATGCATATATTGATACACACGCATATATATAAATATACAACTTAAATACTTCATTAATTAAAATATTAAAAAAGTGAATCCACTATACAAGAAGAGAATATGAGATCGGTGGCCTCTAGTCGCCTGCTTCAACCACGGACTGAGGGAGGGCGAGCCGGCGACTTTGGCTTCGTGGAGTTCTAGGGTTTGTCTGCTTCGACTCTATGACTCTGCTACTTGAGTTAGACGATGATGGCAACGAAGTACGTAAGAAATAAGATTACTTTGGGCTTTATCTATTTTTAATTTCTTTTTTTTTGGGCCTAGCACAGCGGACGGCTATTGAGAAAAACTAGGCGACGACTTGTCGCCAAATTACACGCCTAAATTCACGCCTGGACAACGCCAAGCTCGACTAATCTTCTTTCGGCGAGGCAAGGCGAGGGTTCCCGGCGAGCACTCTAGCGTCAGGATGCCTAGTCGACGACTAGGCGACATCTATGCGACACTGTGACAAGTATGTGAGTGACAATCACCGCCTTGTACTATCAAGACATTTGGTTGTGGCCTTGAATCCCAATGTTGATGAACAACCAATTTGCTTGTGGTCTTACCGTGTTACATACTAAGAATGACGTGCGCGCCACAATCGTTATTTTCACATGCATGGTAAACAACATCTCGCCATAATAAGTTGAGATAGTTTCCAGTCACGCCCACTACAGATTTTGAGGAATGAAAATGCATGCACAAAAAATAAAATTTCAGTAATCTTTTACTCTATAAGAATACATGACTTTAAATTTGAAGTCAGGCGCCCATTAAGTTATAGATGCCAAAGACATACCAAAACACATAAGACTAGGATTTCTTAAGCTGGCCTCCAATTGAGAGCAGTCACATCTGGCCTACAAGGTATCCCGTGACCTGGAAAGCCATAACCAAGTTCGTTACTGCAATGTGAGGAGGGAATGATGGAGGCTCATATACTTCTAAGATCCTGAACATATATACTCTACCTGAAATAGGGCCGCCAGCGGGAATAGCATTTGGAGCGGATGGCTGGAATCCAACATTGTTCATAGGTGGCCTATCATAATGTCTCAAATAGCCTGCCACCATTAACATCGCTATATATCAATACCAATTTATGCATTTAACGAGAACTGCTATCATTGGTTTTCATGAGCTGTGCCCTCATCTAGATCTGCATTGACTTTTTATCATCTGTAGAACTGTAGAATGTAAAGGTGACATGCAATATGCTCAGTGCAGAGAGAGGAAAATGCTTTTCGTGAGAATACCAGCATTACAAATTAAGGATACGGACAGGCAAACAAAAGGCGTGTTCACTTTGAGCAGACTTTTAGTAACATGTTGGGTTAATGTCATAACTTTCTGCAAGATATGCAACATTGTTGTTGAACCCTTCTAATCTTTTCTCATGGCTCTTATCATTGTTATTCCACTTTTTCAAGACATTCACTCATTCATGAACTCTATACATAGTGAAAGCTACAAAAAATACTACCTCCGTCCCGTTGGAAGGTTCCCATAGCAAAACGGCACGGTTATTTAGGTGATAATTAAATAAAGTACTTCAAGTATATTTTGAGAAATAATTTAAATAGGTATATATTATAATGTAGTTAGTATTGATAATTGTGATGTTATAAATGTATTATTTTTAATATTTAATGATTAATTTGTCACTTAAGATTGATAAATTGTTTCCTAAAATGGAAATGGGAACCTTCTAATGGGACGTCCAAAAAAGGAAAGTGAGAACCTTCTAACGGGACGGAGGGAGTAGTAACTTTACTAAACAACTTGTCACCCCATTTTTGAAAATGTCTTGTAGTGATGTATAAAAATGCCTGATTCAAATGAAAAAGAACAAACCTTCGGGAGGGAAATTTGGGCCATCGGAGGATCTTCCTCCACCCATCCATATACTACGCTGTTGATCACCCGTAAATTCATTCGATCGCATTGTCCATTGATCATCACCTGCATATCGCCGTTGCCTATCAGGTCTATTCGGCAATGCATATATCAGTGGTCCTGGTGGATATGGATGCTGAGAATTTAGCTTTACTGATGGCCTTGTATATGAAAAATTACTGGATGGCATTTGAGGTGGATGATTGGGATGCATAGGCATTTGGGTAAAGAGTGCATTAGTGGGTTGGAACAACTGGCTAGATTGTGGACGCGGATGGTTTAAATATGCATCACCAAGGCTACAGACACCAGCAGTAACAAAGCAAGGTTGAGGCAAAGGACCAAGAGGAGCAGCGCCTATAGACATTTGAGGTAGTCTATGCCCCTGCAGAAGAAGACTAGTAAAATAATTGCAAATCCTCAAAAAGATAAAATAAGATCTAGTCAAATAATGCGTGTGTCAGTGTGTGTGTGTGTGTGTTTGTCCTTCTCATATGAACCTTTACCTATAACTACACACACATACATACATATATATAGGTGTCTGTATATAAAGGTGTATATAGGTGTCGGTATATAAAGGTGTATATATAGGTGTGTGTGTGTGTGTGTTAAATTGTTACTCGTCGGTGGCTACTCAGTTAAGGCCGAGTAGCAATTAGGACCAATTATTGAGAGTAATTGGTAATTACTTGGCCCTCTATTACTAAAATTGTAAAACAACATGCTACAATATTCAAATAGTATGAAAACCTATGTCTCAAAATATATTTCATATTTAAGTTAATGAAGTTTTATGGGTCAACAGAAAACAGTCTCTCTGTGCTTTGGGTAAGACTCCATACACTCGACCTCCCCCCCTACCCCACCGAAGGTGGGAGCCTATGCGGCAGTGGGGTAATGATGATGATAAATTAAGTTAATGAAGTTTGACTGACGATAAAATTAAATTCTTCTTGATAATGTTTGAATTGGTGTTAATAATATTAAAATTTATGCATACATACATACACATATATATATAGATAAAGGGATCGAATGCATACTCTTCCTCATTTACAAACTACAAACTCATCTTGGTCATCCGTTGAATTGATCTAAAGGCGGGAGAGGCACGGTGGCAATTTGGTAATAAAATCATACTTTTTACAGATGCAACCCTTTGAACGTTAATATGCAACTATTATTTAATCGCAGAATAATATGCAACACTTAGAACGTCAATATTCAACACAAATAGCGCAAAAATGCAATGTACAAACGTTTGCACGATAAGCACAACTTGTACCATATCCGCAAAAAAAATAACTTCCATTACCAGTAATTGGTCTGATCTGATAGGCATCCAGTACTTCCGAATGTAATCCTTTTTGCATTATATATATGTGTGTGTGCGCGCACGCGCACACAGTTCACTATATACTCCCTCCGGTTCTTAATTAAGTTCCTGGTTTGACTTCTCACATATTAAGAAAATAAATTTGACTTTACTGTGGAGTGCACTGCTTGAACACTGTTTGGCACTGTTTGGCACTGTTTTGGTGTAAATCATTTGCCAAATAAGGAGAGGTTTGAAGCAGGAACTTTAATATGAACCATCCCAAAAAGGAAAGTAGGAACTTAATTACGGGACGGAGGGAGTATATAATACATATAAACTATACTAAAGTTCTATTCAAGTCAAAAAACAAATTTAGATCTAATTAAGATTGTATATTAAATCATATGCTGAAAAGACATCAGTTGACCCAATAGTGCAACAAGGACTACACTTAGGGACTAAGGGAGTAACCATATAAGTCATATGTCTAATATAAATATAAATATAAAGGAAAACATAATAATCAAAATAATTAGCATAATTCATAAAGCACTTAAAGAAAGTGTCATCTACATAATTAATCATTATTTGGTTCAAGATCGACATCATCTTCCTCCATCTCCACAACCACATCATGAAATGAAAGTTAATTACTCCCTCCGTCCCACTATAATTGTCCCATTTTACCTTTTCCGTCCGTCCACTAAATTTGTCCCATACCATATTTGGTAACATTTGTGTGGCTCTAATTCATTCTTAGTTATTCTCACTTTATCAATTCATTATCAAACACATAACTCTACTTTTCTTAAAAATCGCACCACTCTCCTTTGTCCCAATCTTAGGGGGACGGAGGAATATTTGAGAACAATAAATAACCTTCAAAGTCAATCAATCAATCATCATTTACTGATAGGAACCAGCCTATTAGTATTAGACTATTATTAGAATAATAATAATAATAATAATAATAATAATAATAATATGAGTAATAAGGGTACATGAATATTGTAGTATAAATAGACGGGAAAGGGGAGTTAGTGGTAGGCTTTTGGGACTTTAAGTCTTGGGACTGGGAGGATCGAGTTTATCTCCTTCTTTGGGAAGCTTCGGCTCAATTGGGGGCTTCGGCCTTGGATTTCTGTACTGTTCATCTTCTTCTCTAATAAAATTGATTTCTTGATTTCTTTCTGTAAAACTGTTCTGGAATTTGGAGGTATCTATCATTGGTATCAGAGAAAAACGATCTTGCTACCCGTAGTTGTGTACATGGCAGGAACGATGGAAACTTGGGAGCAAAAGATGGAGAAGTTGCGCGAAGAGATACGCAAATTAAGCATGCCAAGAAAAAATCGGCGTTCTGATAAACCATCGCAGTCGCGAAAGTCGCAGAAGGAGCCGATAATTGTTTCGCACTCGCTAAAGGATCCGCGCGGAAAATTGGGGAAACTCGCGGAAACGATGGAGCGCGGAAAAATGGAGAAGGAGAAGAGCTTAAAATCGGAGAAAGAAAAACGCCCAAAACCTGAGAAAGAGAAACGCTACAGCCTGGATAAGGAGAAGCGTGAGAAGAGCAAACAACATAACCGGCGAGGACGATCGAGGAAGGTACATCGCTGCGTGAATTCGAAAAGCAAAGCTCCATCTCAGTCACAAGAATTCCCTAGTTCGCAGTCGCGAACTGTTTCTCTCAGTTCGCCCTTGCCAATCGAGCATCTTCTATCGTTGTCGCAAGTAAATTCTTACCCTGCGCCAGATTTGTCTCTTGATTCGCAGATGACATTGCAAGCCATAAATCCCAGTGTGAGAGTGTCAACGTGCCCACATGAATCATCTGTTTCAGAATCTATAACCATAGTCGCATCAGGAAAAGGATTAACAGGGACTATAATTTCGGAAATTCATACTGAATTGAAGCAAGTGGCACCAACAGTTTCAGAAAATAGCGAAGCTGACATTCTGCAGGTATGTGATAGTGATGTTTGTGTGGTCAAGTCCACATTGACTTTTGGGTTTGTACAGGAGAGGAACTGGCTTAATGTTTTAAAATCTGTAATGATGGACTGTGATATATTACACATTGCTTTGGAAGGGCTGAAGTCATTGAACAAGTTTGATAGATTCGGATGTGAGAGTGATACTTCGATGATAGATAATCAAAATGGGTTAGAAGGAGAATTTTCTGGGAATATTACAGAGTATGAGGGATATGTTTCTGGTGTTGGAGTTGTCATGTATCTGATGTTTGTTAAAGATCTCAATCCTGGTCGTTTCCCTGAGGCCATAATAGGAGGTGTAGGCTTAGACTATCGGTTTGATGATTCTGCTATGGCAAATTCTTATTCTGTGGCTAGAAGCCCATCTTCTATGTCCATTGTACTCGTGAATGGCATTTACAGGGACTTTGTCGGCTCTTATCTTGACTCCTCCATCTTCCAGCATCAACAACAGAAATTGAATGTTCCTGGTTCTTTCAATATGCTGACTACTGGAAAAGAGATTCATTTTGAAGTTCAGTCAACCACTCGGGTATGGGAATCTGGCGCTGAAAACACGAGTTGCTATTCATTGGTCATCCAACCGGAACCACTGGTGTGGACAATACTTTCTAAGGATGACTTGGTGGATCATTTTACCTATGATGTCTTGAAACTGAAACCAAGGACTCTGTATTATGGTTGGAGTTCATGGTCCTATTTTCGTAAAGGAGAGGTTATTTCTTATTACCCAGGTGGTTGGAGTAGTAAGAATGCAGACCATGATGTTAGATATTGCTATGTGATGGTGGGCAATGATCAAGGTATATCAAGAGTTTCAATTCTGGAAGAAATGTCACTCATGACATGTCACAGAGTATACATATCAGAAGCTAAAATCCCAAGGAGTGAAGCAACTGAAAACCGAGGACTTGCATTATACTCTGAAGCAAGAGCTACTAGCAAATGGAATATTGAGGAGAAGGTGATGAATGAAGATCAGTACCAGCAGGAACATAACCACCTGAATAGTATGGATGCTTTGAAGGGAGAGGATCTAGTGCTGTTTTTGCTAGAAGTGAGGATGAAGATTCAAGAATGGAAACTCCTTGACCAACCTACAGTCATGTATTGGGAAGGAAGAGGAGCAAGAAATAAGAAGAAGAAGATTGTGGCTGTTTCCTATCACCCACCTTGAGGGCAAGGTGGATGTTTAGGGAGGGAGTATTGATAGGAACCAGCCTATTAGTATTAGACTATTAGAATAATAATAATAATAATAATAATAATAATATGAGTAATAAGGGTACATGAATATTGTAGTATAAATAGACGGGAAAGGGGAGTTAGTGGTAGGCTTTTGGGACTTTAAGTCTTGGGACTGGGAGGATCGAGTTTATCTCCTTCTTTGGGGGGCTTCGGCTCAATTGGGGGCTTCGGCCTTGGATTTCTGTACTGTTCATCTTCTTCTCTAATAAAATTGATTTCTTGATTTCTTTCTGTAAAACTGTTCTGGAATTTGGAGGTATCTATCATTTACCCAGTGCCGCAAAGGCTCCCACCTACAGTGGGGTAAGGGGGTCGGATGTACGTAGTCTTACCCCGGTACTAAAGCACAAAGAGACTGTTTCCAGATGACCCATATAAAAATCGCGTCCAAAATTGCATGGACTGACTGCTGCTTCATAACAAAGAAGAGCAGACAGTTTGGTGAGCCATTTTGCTTTATTCCATCATATTCCCAAGCCAAAAAATAATGAATCTTTGGCTCCATTGCAAATGATGGAAAATTAATAACCTTCAAAGTTCAAAGTGTTTTACTAAATTTAAATCCCTAAGTTCTTATCAAACAACAACCCAAATTTTTATTTTCAACTTGAAATACCACTAACTGAGTTACTCACCGAGTAACCCGAGTACTAGACTCACCAGTCACCAGAATGCTAACATCCCGAAATACTTGCTAAGTTACTCAGTTTTTTTAATAGATAGTATAGGTCGATGACTCGGTAGGGTATATAACCGAGTAGCACACCCTCGGCGAGTAAATAACATATTACCTCCGTCCCGAAAAGGTTCGCCATATTGACTTTTCTTGGTCAATGATGGCAAACTTTGGACAATGATTTTAAATATTATATTTGTATATAATTTATAAATTTTCTACTTTTATGAAAATATTTTGAATAAGGAACATTTTGATATAATTTTTATATTCTAAATAATTTCGTATCAAAAAATATCATTGGTCAAAGTTTTTTGACATTGACCAAGAAAAGTCAATTTGGCAAACCTTTTCGGGACGGAGGGTGTAATATATATCTAAAAATTCCCATATCCAAAAGTCTTACATTTTGCATGCTGCCAACTTCATGCAGAGCTAAAGGTTGCTGATATACAACCATGGATGAAGAAGATGGTATTGCTGATGCAACTGACTGCACATGCTGTAATGGCATTGAGGGCTGAAGGGGCACAGAAGCCTGAGAAAATAAAAGGGGAAGTGGTCCAGCGGGCATTGAAGAAAAGGGGTGTGGCTGTGGCGGAGGCGGTGGTGGCAGTGAGGGAGGGGATGGTGTTGGGGGTGGTGTTGCGGGTGGTGGTGGGATAGGAGAAGATGGAGGTGGCAGCGGAGGGGTATTTAAAGGAGGTGATGGCAAAGGTGGGGTCCCTGGAGGAGAACCAGGAGGCAAAGGTGGAGACCAACCCACAGATGGAGGCAATTCAAAGGGACTGTTTGAAGCTGCTTCGACGATTCTCGCAGAACTAGGCTTACTTGGATCACTTCCAAGATGCCTATCAGTGAACAATGCATTTTCATCCTTTTGGTGTCCAGATACATCTTCCATTTCAAGCTCACCGTCTACATCTTCCAGTATGTGACTGCGCCTATCTTTAGGGGTTGCTGAATATTGTTCAGAATTGTCTCCTGGGGCAAGAGTACCATCCACCAGTGATACATCAATGCCTTCTTGGTGAGGACTATTTGGAATTTCTTCATCCTCTTCTTCAAACACATTAGAAGATAGAAAGCCAGGCAACTGAAACGTTGCATTACTGAAAATTAAAATATTAATAGCAAATATGAGCGTCATAAAAAACATGGTATAGCGATAGCAGCATAAATATGCCAACAAATTAATTGAATATGTCGTGGAAGCAATATATCGATCTATTTAAAATAAAATATGGTGCGATTAAGAATTGAACCAGGTCAGTAACTACTATAGTTTGTGAATATACCTGCCATACTCATCAACAAGCATATCTTCCATTTCTCTAATTGGATCATCTAAAGCACGCTCAGCTCGAGATGGGCGTCTAAAGGTGTGCCCACCAGCAGCAACATCATCGTTTGCAGTGTCAATCTCATCAATATAGCGACGAATAAGGGATTCTGGTAGAATTTTCCTCTCGAGCCACAACCGTAAGACCTGCATAGAGAACATTGAGCCAGTAATTAGAGAACTAAACTACATCTTTGAAGATAGAAACAGCATGGGAGACTCAGCAAATCTTGGAAGTGTTCAGGTTCCTATAGAAGTACCTTAAGGCACTGACGACGGTTTTCACGAGCACCTACTCCTTGTGGAGCCGCAGCCCCCAGTAGTCGTGACAAAGCTTCTTGAACAGCAGGAATATATGATGCACTGGCAATGCCTTAAGACACAACATAGACCAAGCTAAAATAAAAGTTCTTTGCAGTTTATAAAAAAGGGCAAAGGAACAAATATACCACTATAGCATAAGCGACTAAGCGTGAGAACACATACCCCTGCTCTAAATTTGGAACAAAAAACTTATAAAATCAAAAGTTGGGTCTAAAACTACACTCCATCTAAAATTTCTTTCATACTCTCCAACATTTTGAGGATACTTTTAAAGGATTATAGATCACATATGCGCAGATATTAAAATAAATGAATCGTGATTAGAGATCCTCTATTTCTTCTGCCTCTGTTCAGATTCCAATTCACACTCAAATATCGACCACCTCTTCTCCTTTCTCTTTGACTTTTAGCCTTAATTCCAGCAACGCTGCCCCCTACCCACCTCCTCCATCACTCCAAAATTTAAGCAGTGTGTATCCCAGATTAATTCTTTCAAAAACAACCTAACCGCAAGATGAACTGTTATTATTACACAAAAACCAACACCTAACTAGAAACTCAGCTTTCAAAGCAAAACAAATAGAAGAGCATACCACAATTCTCATTCCCCCAGATGATATATCAAAATATTAGCTTTTGAGAAATTAGTGAATGAAAGTATTCAAACCTACCCTTAATCTTTATGGGAAGCTGTAATCAATTTTAGTTGCTAAATGTGGGGTAATTTAGGTTATTTGTGCTCATTCATCTTTTTTTCAATATCATTTTCCTCTGTAAACGTCAAAGGGCCATTAAATATGGGCAGTTCAACCACCAAAGAATTGATAGATCCTTCAAATTTGAAACCAAAAGTTCATCAAGGCTCTGCAAATTCAAAAGCCTCTCAATTACTGGATTCTTACTCCTTTAGCTCAAAATCCGTTGAAAGAATCGCGCTTGCAGCAACTACCCATCCCATCACCAACAATAAATATTTCTCTGTTGAAAAATACAGCACTAGTAATCATCTTCATTTCAATGTGTGTAGCCATATGGAGAAGGCGCAAGGAGTAAGAAATAGTAGCACTGCTACACTGTTTAATTGACGGAAATAGTACTAACAGAACATGATAAAAGGGTACTTGTAGACCAAAATTTTGAATTTAAAAAATTTTTATTCTAAGAAATAGAGCAGGGGTATAGACGATCTCACAACTATATTATAAGGGTGTATTTGTTCCTTTTCCCATTAAAAATTACATCAAAGACATAAGAAATTTGATGAATAGTTGCAAATTCCGTCTGATAAATAAATGAAATGTTGAGGGGAGATTGTAATTGGTCATCAACTCAAGTGGGATAAATAGTAAAATGCATCACAAGTCAAACAAATCTAGAAAAGTGAGCACCCATAACGCTGGTGAGAGCTGCAGTCACATCTATCACATCTAGATCTGAAATCAACTATAGGAATCCTACCTGTGCAACTCAAAACCAAATTACCAATGGGGTTCATATGGCCTACTACGAGCTGTGATCCTCGTATTTCTTTTAATTTTATGTTACCCATATAACACTGTCTTCTATTCTTTCTTAAACACTGTATTCTTACCAATCAACCAACATTTTTTCTCTTCCTATCTGATGGGTGGGATGAACTACCATGATCCAAGCATAAAACACAGCTCAAGTCATTCCTTGGAAGACGAGATGCCATAGAGGGAAAATGATCATATTTGGCACCAAATATAAGAAACAAACATAAACAAAAACCTGATGATCAATTAATGAAAACAACGACTAGCAAGGACGAAAAAACAGGACCAAATAACCAATTAATTATAGACAGTAACAAACTCAATAAAATGGAAACAGACAGAGATCTGCACTTATTGAGTTAAATAAGTGTCCAGTTACTGATATATATATACATATGTGTGTGTATGCATGACTGGGGCAGGGGAGTTGGTATTTCCATGAGGGCGGGAGTGGGTGGGGGAGTGGGGACAGAGTAGTCATTGGCGCAAATGGTGATCTGCATTTATCGCCATTGACATATATTAGGAGGTCCTCACCACATTCCCAGGCCCTGGCGACAAGATTCCCTGTGGCATGATAGAGACCTGGACTTATGGGTTTATGGCGTGAGATATAATAGAAACAATACTGAATATTTTAATAAAATATAATAGTGGGCCGGGCCAAGTAATTAGATAGATTGAGGGAAGCCTCATTGGAAAAGAATAAATAGAAGGAATAGAAGAGTGAGAGGTAGGCTGGAATTCAGTTGGAATTAGGCTGGGAGAGTGAGATCTCTCGAAGAGTCTCGAAGAGTAAAACCCAGATTACCGTCAATATACTAGCTGTTTTTACCGTGTACCTATCCATTGTGAGATCTCTTGAAGAGTCTCGATCTGTTTCTTCTCTATCTTTTATTTCCACCATTTTAAAACCCAGATTACTGTCAATATACTAGCTGTTTTTAGTGTACCTATCAATGGTATCAGAGCAGTAGACACCTGGAAATGTGGAGAAGCACTCTGGTTTGCGCAAAGAAGATCGACGGTCAGAACTGGCCGTCTCTTGTTCGAGTGGAAAACTGGAGAAGCATTCAAACAGGGAGAACCGCTCGAACCTGGAGAAGTGCGTGAACAAGGAGAAGCGCGCGAAGAGCAAGGAAATGGTAGAAAGTGATCGGGAGAAAAAGTGGAGGATCTGGCTAGACAAGTTTCGCACTGAGCTGCGTCAACAACGTCACCGGCGAGGACGATCGCGGACCATGCGACGCTGCCAGAATTCAGAAATCAATGTTTCATTGCCATCGCAGACTGACTCTAACAGTTCGCAGGTTACTTCGCTAACAGCTTCTCCTAGTTCGCAATCGAGAACAGCTTCGCTCGGTTCGCAGGCATCATCGCTAAGTGCGCAGGTTTGGTCTCAGTCGCAAGCAACTACTCCCAGTTCGCCAACTTCGCCACCAGCAGATGTCCCCAGTTCACAAGCACTAATGCGAGCTGCTACCCACCGTTCGCAAATTTCAACGTCCCCTCAGGAGTCGGATAATCAGCGGCAACCTTCCCCTAAAGGTATTATTTCTTCGCGCCCCAGAGAAAAGGTAGAAGAAGAGAGAGTCCAGTTGGGTCCTAACAGTGCTGAGGATGTTCAGAGGTTCGCCAATCTAGAGCAAAATTCCGCTAGGGAAGATGATAATTCTTCTCTGGAGATGAAGCCGCTGTCCGTGGTTGTTACTGGTGACCCTGGAAAAGATGGAGAAAAGGCAAGTGTTTTGAGCCAGAAGTTCCTCAGGCCCTTATCCCTGGAGTTCGTTCTGTGGCTACAAGAGCTATTGGCTCTCTTATAAAGGAAATGGGAGACGAAAACTTCCCAGACTTGATTCAAAAATCATTCGAACTCATGGTAGCTTCCTTGAGGCACACAGATGCAGATAGGCTAAAAAGAATTTTCATAAACTGCTTAATGAAAGGGACTAAAGCAGAGTTGCAACACTATCATTATGAATACTTCTCTGAATTCGGGGATAAAACCCTGTTGTTGGAAGAGAAGAACAGGGCGGTAAGGAGAGGAAAGTACAGAGTTGAAGACATGAGGGGATGGAAGGAAAAAGGGGGCTATATGAACAAACCTCAGCAATGGATGGAAGGATTGAAGAGCAGGACATTTACCAATAACTATGAGAAGGTACAAACTACCAAGTTTTACTTTTAGGCTGTTGGTATAAATTCCAGGTTTGCAATATGGAAGAACCTTATGATGTTCACAAATCAGTTTCTAAGTATGATAGTCCTGTTTCATTCATGCAAACCATACCCAATCCAAATTCGTCAAAGCAAGATAGGCCTGCATTACTGTATGGCATAGAGTGTGGGGCGGTGAAACAATGTCACATTCAAAAGATGAGTGTGGCAGAGATGCGCATGCTGCGTTGGATGTGTGGGCATACTAGAAAGGACCGCGTGAGGAATGAGACAATCAGACAAAGGGTGGGAGTAGCACCTATTGAAGATAAGATGCGGGAGTCGCGCCTACGGTGGTTTGGTCATGTGCATAGAAGACCGAGTGATGCACCTGTCAGACGAGTTCAGATGTGTGGAGAAGAGGCAAGGAAGAGAGGGAGAGGAAGGTCCAAACAGACGTGGGTTAAGGGAGTCAGAAATGATATGCTTCTTCTTGGATTGGATGAGGGTATGGCTTTGGAGAGAGCAAAATGGAGGGCGGGTATTCGTGTGGAGTGATCTTGTATCATCTTTTCCCCTCTTTTTTTTCGTTTTTTTTTCTTTTTTTTTATATTTTTATCCTTATATATAAATATTACTTTATCCTTTTTATTTTTTCTTTTATATGTATATTCATCTCTTTTATATTATCTTTTTTTATAATAGCTTATCTTTTTCATTTTTATTTTCTTTCTTTTCCCTTTGGTGATATCATGTATCGATTTATGTTAGTCGACCCCAATATCGTTTGGGACTAAGGCTTGGATGTTGTTGTTGAAGATAGGGATGAATTTGCAAATACACAGGCATGGTATACAAAGATGGATCTTGCCTTAGTGGCAATCTTTACCATAGCAGAGATGTATTAAATGGCAATTGTGTTTTCACTGTTGTTTGGTTTTATTACTTGAGATTTCACTCTTATGTACATCATGTGAAGTTCAGATCAGTTGTTCATCCTGTGAGGTGCATCTCTAGAGTGGTTACCGTCCTCCCAGCGGCTCAGATACACTGTGGTTATGAAGCAGATTTAGAAAGGGATTGTAATTTTGTCACAAGCCCTGTTCGGGATCTGGAAACCTGGGCATTGGACCTCTTGCTGTTGGTTTTAGGTGGATGGCTAATACTGGAAATCCAGTTTCTATGCCTGCCTTACTAGAAGGTTCTTCCAACTGTTTGACTAAAGCTGATGATGTTTGTATGTTGTGCCGCCCAGTTATTGCTCTTAACGCAGTAAGATGGGACTACGTCAGGGACTTGATTATTAAGTGGAGAAGAGCTTTTGTGGAGGAAGCAGCACGAAAAGTTATAAGCCATGTGCATGGATTTCCACCTATTAATCTGCTATTAATAAAGCTGGAACCTGCAATTAGTTTCTCTGAAGTTGGGAGGCAGCCTTTTAGTGATTTTGAAATGCATAAAAAAGGTTTAAAGCAGTTGGCAAATGGAAAAGAGTATCTTGCAGAGTTTCCTTATGCCAGTTTGTTATCCACAGTCGAAACAGCAGCATGTTTTGCACCACTCAAGACATTGCTTGAGCCTATCAAGTCTGGGTCATATGAATACTATTGGGAAGCTTCCGCTAACACCTCTGCATTAGAATTTGCCATTGTTCTTAGTCAGTTATTTGATATTTCTGTGGTTCTTATCAGTCCTGGTGGATACTTCATGTCAGATGCTACAATTCCCAGGAGTGAAGCAACTGAGACCCCAGGACTGGGGTTATATCCGGAGGCAAGAGCTGTTAGCGACTGTAAGATTGAGCAGTTGGGGATTGGTAAACCTCAGTTCCAGCATGAACAAGGCCACCCGAGTAGGACGATGCTCTAAAGGTAGAGGATCTGTTGATTCTTTTGGTAGAAGAAGTGAGGAGGAAGATTCAAGTATGAAAGCCCCTTGTCCAGCAAACAGTAAGGTAGGAAGAGGCACAAGGATGAAGCGGGGTGGCATAGCTGCTCTTACTCCCCACGTCGAGGACAAGGTGGTTGTCAAGGGTGGGATTGATGATAGAGACCTGGACTTATGGGTTTATGGCGTGAGATATAATAGAAACAATACTGAATATTTTAATAAAATATACTAGTGGGCCGGGCCAAGTAATTAGATAGATTGAGGGAAGCCTCATTGGAAAAGAATAAATAGAAGGAATAGAAGAGGGAGAGGTAGGCTGGGAGAGTGAGACCTCTCGAAGAGTCTTGATCTGTTTCTTCTCTTTCTTTTACTTCCGCCATTTTAAAACCCAGATTACTGTCAATATACTAGCTGTTTTTACCATGTACCTATCAGCGTCATCATTCCTACGCCATTTGCGCCAAAGTTGGGCCTTATTTTACAGTTTTTTTAAAATAAGCCCATATTAAATAAGCTTCAAGTCTAAGTCAGTTGAGACTTGTGCCAACCCTAAATGGCTAACACGTGAGTCATGACAGAGGCATATGATTAGAAACCAAACAACTAACACTAAATATCAATGAACAACCGTAAGAGAGGGCATGCAACCACCAAGGCCACCCATCAAAAGTGTAAGTTAGGCTTATGATATTATGGGAAAAATAATAAAAATACCCCAAACTTTGAAGGGGTGTGAGGTAAACACCCCAAACTTGTATATGTAATTTAAATACCTCACACTTTAAATAAAAAGTTATTTTTGCACCATTGTCATGTATTATTTCTTTCCAAAATGTGAATTTATGGGATTAATTGCATAATTTAAAATAAAAAATTAAAAGTGTTGCAATTATATAGATTGGGGGTAACATTATTTATTTCCTAATGGATGTTTAGAATGTTATTTGTGTCATCATGAATTCTAAAATATTTTAAATTATGAAATTAAAACCATAAAATTACATTTTTGAAAGAAATAATACTTGACTATGGTGCTAAAATTACTATTTATATGAAGTTTGGGGTATTTAAATTACATATGCAAGTTTGGGGTGTTCATCCCACACCCCTTCAAAGTTTGGGGTATTTAATTATTTTTCCCTGATATTATATGTATTATCATATTGTGTATACTGTAATTTACTAATATATATTATGATGTTAGTTTTATTATCATATTATGTATACTGAAATATTTATACTGGTTAATAAGTTGTTTAAGTGTTTTTATTAAGATTAACACTTTTGGGGCAGAAGAAAACAGTGGGTCCAAATGGCATACCGATCAAGACCTCAAGAGGTTTGGGGGAGAGAGGCACAGAGTGACTAACACGTTTCTTGAATAAAATTCGGAGAAACAACAAAATGCTAGCGAGTTGGAGAAAGAGTATTCTTATCCCCTGATTTAAGAATAAGGATCAACAACATCTATCAACATCCAAGCCTTAGTCTCAAAAGATTTAAGAATAAGGGTGATGCACAAAAATGTACAAGCTATCGAGGAATAAAGTTTATGAGTCACATTATCAAACTTTGGAAGTGAGTGATTGAGCAAAAGCTCCGAAGAAGTGTGAAGATCTCGGAGAATCAATTCGGTTTTAAGCTTAGTCACTCAACAACTAAGGTCATTCACCTTCTTAGGCAACTTGTGGAGAAGTATGGAGACATGCACCAGGATCTACATTTGGTGTTCACTGACTTAAAAAGGCGTATGATAAGCCGATAGGGTACCTCGAGAAGTCCTTTGATGGGCCTTAACTAGAAAAAGAATATCATGCAAGTATATCAACATCATAATGGATATGTATGAGGATTGTACTACAAGTATCCGTACTAATGTAGGGAAGACTACAGAGTTCCCTATTACTATCGGATTGCACCAAGAATCCACTCTGTGTCCTTTCTTAGTTGGTATAGCCATGAATGACTCACGAAGTCAATTCAAGAAGATATACCGCGATGCATGATGTTTGTCGACGATATTGTGTTAATTGATTAAACAAATCATGTGTTAAAGTGAAGTCGGAAGTATGGCAACAAACTTTGGAGAACAAGGCATGAAGCTTAGTCAAAGCATGATTGAGTATATGGAGTGCAAGTTTAGTGAAAGAGGAAACAATGAGAAGAGGGGTATTACCTTGCATAGTAAGAAGATACCATTTGTTTGATATGTTCCATTACATGGGCTTCATAATTCAGAAGAACGAAGAACTTGATGGAGTTGTATCACATAGAATCTACACAGTGTGGATGAAATGGAATAGTGCGCCGGGATTTCTATGTGATCGAGTATACGCCGACTAATGGTTATGTTTTATCCAACGGCAATTAGGTATGATATTGTATGGCGCAGAGTGATGGGCAATGAAACAATGACACATCCAAAAGATGAGTGTGGCAAAGATGTGCATGCTGCATAGGATGCATGCACATACTAGAAACGACTGATTAAGCAATGAAACAATTGCAGTGGTTTTGGTCATGTGCGCAAGAGACTGTACCTGTTAAACGAATTGAGAGATGGAGAGGAAAGACGAGGAGAGGGAGAGAAGGACCCAAAGAGACTTGAATTAGAGTGGTCAAAAATGATATTGTACTTCTTGGATTGGTAAGAGTATGACTATGTGTCTATGTATCATTTTTAGCTCCAATTTCATATGTCAATCCATTTTAGCCGATCCCAAACACTTTTGGAACTAAAGCTTGGATGTTTGTAAGTGTGTTTGATTAGGATTATTTATGGTACTATTATGACTTATTTATGTGTTTTATTAGGATGAAGTTATTTATTTCCATCATTTGCAATAGAGCCAAAGATTCATTATTTTTTCTTTGTTATGAAGCAGCAGTCAGTCCATGCATTTTTGGACGCGATTTTCACTATGGGTCATCCGGAAACAGTCTCTCTGTGCTTTAGTACAGGGATAAAGAATGCGTACATCCGACCCCCCCTACCCCACCGTAGGTGGGAGCCTTTGCGGCACTGGGGTAAATGAAAAAAAAATTGGATGAAGTTATTTAACTCTTTTATTGATGGTTAAATCATAGAACTATATTGTCCATAGGTAATATGTATAATAGTTTTTAGTGTATCGTAGCGACATAATAAATGTGACATCGCCATTGCCACGGCAACTGCCCCCACTCCATAGTGGTCCCCATACGCCATGACAGCTATGGTGGGAGATAATCAATCGTTGAACTATAGGACATTTATAGATATTACTTAACCATTCATGCATACATAGCTAGGTATACAAAAGAATCTCACACTACTCGAGAGTTACTAGTTGACATGTTTAGACTACAAGGTAAACTATGCAAAGGAGACTTCCATTACTCAAGAACTTGAAAAGATGAGCTTTATTCCTATAAAATTCAAACAGCAACGATCAATGAGACATTGAGATTGATAAGTACTTTGTATCTTTGGGAATCTAATACCTTTATGGCTATGAGAACATTGAGTAATTGAATCCACAAGGAAAAATAAATCCACTCTGCGGTGATAGCTAGGTTCATTTTCCAATTTGTGGATAAGAAGTTCCACAACCTAAACAAAAGTAAGGATGTAGCATAGCTCTGTTAGATGTGTAATGAGTAAATGGACAAATAACAAATAAGAGGCATTGAAACTAAATATCCCCCACACACTGGATATAGTTCTCACTCAATCAATAACCAACAATAGAACAGAAACTTTTTACATTCCTTATGAAAGTCGAGTGTAGTCTGAATTTTTAAAATAATAATCCAAACCAACTCATAAAAAAGACATGCTAAAAATAGACAAATGAAAATATTCATAAGCAGACAACAAGTAAAAGCAGTGCATTTCTACAACATATAACAGTTCCATTTCTTGTATATTCTTTAGGAGGCACACCATAGTATACACAACAATTTTGAAATAAAATAAATACATCAGAAATAAAAAGAATAACCCATGGAATTTGCATGTTATTATCATGTGGTCAACTTCATGTGGCCTAAAATTAATACTACCTGTGTTCTTAAATAGTTGCAACATTAGAAATTTTACACTATTCATGTACTCTACTTTGATTGCAACTTATTTGCAAATGCTTTCCAATTTTAATTTTTTGAAAATATAATTAAATTCTTCCCATTTTAATTTTTCAAAATGTGACTTTAAAAAAAACTACAAATAAGGAAATAAATATATTAATGGTCAAAGTTGTGCATTAGCAAACGTGAAAATGGAAATGTTGCAACTAAAAAAGAACGGAGGAAGTACTAAGTTTGCTATATTTCACAGTTGAATATTTGCATTTTACCATATTAGAAGCGATAGTCATGTCAAAGCAAGACATCCATGGCCAATACTAGGCACACACACATTTCATTTCCAGTAGGAAAGAGGAAGGAAATGTGATAGCTACCTCATTAGCAATCCCATACTTTGCACAGTCAATTGCAAGTCGAGTAGCACGTCCTATACTTTCTTTAGTCCTCGACAAAGTTTCTATCATTCCCTCAAAAGAATCACGAGCAACAGCTGCCTCAGTACTGCCGCTAATTGAACCACCAGTTGTCTGGTGTTCCGAACTAACCATTCTTTCTTCTTGTTCTTCACACTCAGGTGGATCAACTGATGAAAACTGACGAACCTCTGAAGCCGGAGACAGGCGAGGACATAGTCCATGCGTATCAGAATGCACAGTCTCGCCAAGGCCAGATTGATGAGAGGTGGGATCAAGGTTGGGACTCCCTCCTTGAATATCAGCATAGTTGGTGAAAACAGGATGCAAGTTGCCCGGAGCACTCTGTAGGTGAGCTTGCCTCCTTTTAGCCTGAGCGGCTGCTATAAGATTCTTCATTGACATATCAGTGTCCAACACTTTTAAATCAGTAAGAGAGAGAAGCCGATCATCTTTGCCTGATTCAACCCTGTCCATTATAATGACAAAACAAGTTCAATCCAATATGAACTTGATATAAGTTACCAACTTTAGAAAATCAAACATCATGATACCTTTCGGAAGGAACAGAAAAAGTTTTTGTTGGATGTCCTGCTGGAAGAGTATAATCACTAGCACAAAAAGTTGATTTAGGGATTCCTTTTTTCTTTTCTCCAGAAGAATCTATCTTGCCTCTTTCATTACTAGGTTGATCAAGAGAAGATTTCAGGATATCAGAAGCAGTGACAAGGGCCAAAGAAGAACTGGTTACCATTTTACCATGTGCTACATCATCTGATACTTTATCTGATTGTTGACTTGATTTGTGAGGTTCTAACGCTGGTTTGATAGTTGTGACAATCACAGGGGACCTCTTAGGTGAAACACAAGTTCGTTTAATGTCCCTTACAGGTACTTTTTCAGGTTCTGGTTTTCCGGGACTGATGGAAAGGTTTGGAGTGGTTACTACTCTAGCCCTTTTCTCCGACAACTTTTGAGAAGTATGAAAAGAACTGTCATCATTTGGTTTGGTAGGTGGTTTCAATTCCTTTAAAGATCCACTCAGACATCTCCCTGGCACTCCCTGTACCTGCAAGACAGGTGTAGAAGAAACACTGGGTGCATCAGATTTTTTCAAAGAAGCTGAGACGAGTGAGGGGATGGAATTCCTTTTTATAGAACCTCCATGAACTGGAGTTTTGGGTTTCTCATTATCATCATCATCACAACGCCGAAGAGCTCTACGTTTTGTTGGCTGTTGAGTAATAGGAGAGGAGTAGGGCACAGCATCCATCGCCCACCGGGTACAATTTGATGACAGAGGAATATCTTCCACCACCGGAATACTTGAGCCAACAGCATCTGCTTGTTCTCTTGGTGTCACACGATTATCCACTTTACCCACTGGCTTTGATCCTTTAACATCTAAATTACTAAATTTTACATCAACAACAGAGCTCTGGCTAACAGTTTTTCTGCTTGCTTGGCTAACCTTGTTGACATCAGCAGCAGCATCTACGTGTTTTGACCTTTTGAAAGGACGAACTCCTTCATTTCCCTGTGATATTATCAGAGTACGTCCAGGTTCAACTTTGAGCCTCGCAGTAGAACTTCCGTGCTTTTTATTCTCCTCAATTTCATTTTCAGAATTAGCCATTTCAAGATGTCCTTTATCTTTCTGCAAGCTTTTTGCTTTGTTTTTAGCATTAGTTTCCAAACCTGACTTCAATTCTAAGGATGGCTTCTTACTTTCACTAGGCAAATCATCACTCCTCAAACGCACTACAATAGGCTCAGCAGATGTACCATCAGCCAAGACCTTAACATTTTGCATTAGATCTCCACCATCCAATTTCTTCTTTGCTAATTTTGCTTTTTGTCCGTTTGTTAGGTACTTACGTCCACTACTAGGAAGCTCAGCATAATCTCCACAAGCAAGTTTATCTTGAACATTTTTGTTTTGCGAGCAGCCCTCATCTATAGATTGGCATCCATGACCCGATGCTGATGACAATTCCTTCACAGGGTTGGTACTATTAGAAGTTTTATTCTCCTTTTTAGATAAAATAGTTGGAGGCGCATTCGCAGAATCTAAAACATGTGACTTGCAAATATGCTTATCTTTCTCAGTTATTATCTTAGAGCAGCGCTCCAAACTAGAACCATCACTCGCGCTTTCAGAATATATCACATGCTCAGACTCACCAGATTCCACCCCATCTTTTTGTTTAACCTTTACAGCATCATCTACGACATCACTAACCAGAGCTTCATTATTTGTTTCTAGTCCCAATGGACAAGAATTTTGCTGTTGCAGCACTTCAAATTCAGCACAAATATCTTTCACTGCTACGCCAAATTGTCCTTTTCCTAGGCATCGAGCTGACAACTTGTTCTTCAATTCACATGTAAAGGCCTGAATGTCTGCCGGGGCAACAAAAGCTCTAAACAAAATGCAAGGAGACAATAAGATAAGTTGCAATTATATATATCTGATAAATTTTAAGTAACAAAAGAGATATGTATTGAACTACTGAGTTGCTGCTCACTTTTAAGGGTAAAAAATGAAGCTCAGTAATTAGCTTTCATATTACAAACGTGTGCAATAAATGATCAGGAAATAGAGAAGAAACTCCACAAAAAATAGAGAAGAATATCCACAAAAAATAGAGAAGAATAAAAAACTTCCTATGACATGGTCTAACTAAATTACTAAATGATCCCATATTCCCATCTTTAAAAATATGCAAATAAAATGCTTTTAATTACTTCATTCCTAGGACAACTGGAAAGATACCAAAGTGGTCATTCGAAATTACAAATTAACCATCTAAATATTTCACCGGCACCCACTAGCAGCACGCCAGCACTGTGTATCCCATCAGGTGGTAAGTCATTTAAAAGTTGAAACAGCACAACCATCCCCGTTAACCCTCTAAAAGGAACCACTAAAAGGAAATCGATGCACCGGACTAAAACATGGTAAAGGTGTGTTCAATAAAAAGAGCAAAAGCTTATCTTCAACTTCACAAGCTTCTGTTGGATACATGGATAGCATTATATATGAGTTTAATTATGTCTACTTTTGTTGAGCCTTCATAGATAATCATTCACAAAGAACCCCCGGGCTGTTTTCATATTACATTGACATTACACAAATAACAAAACTCTCCTAATTTGAGGACAACCTCATCCTCTAAAAAATGGTTTATCATTTGGTCAATGTACATGCATGTAATTAGTTGTTAAGAAATCTCAATCTATTACTGTATTACATTAACTCTTTCCTACACCTCGCGACTTGACTCTGAGACCATAATACAAACACACATTTATATAGATGTCTATGTCAACCCAGAAAAGGAACCAACAATGGGTCCAGAAGACCATCCTAAGAAAAGAAAATGTGTCTATAAACTGTGACAGATCACTCATGTATAGTACATAATATTACAGTTTCTATGTCTAAACATTGCAGCGAAACAAGAAGGGATGCTTCTGAAAAGGTTTGTCATTTTAGTAAAATATGCACCAAAATACTCTACGGAGAATATACACATCAAGTACCAGACACAAAATAGTAAACTCAATTGTCCAAAATGAACAAATTCAAGTTCTAGCCCTTGAATCCGCCTTGCGTATTACTCCCTCCGTATTTAAAAGTTCCCTATCTTTCCATTATGGGCTGCATTTAAAAGTTCCCCACACTTTCCCTTTTTGGTAAGTTTTTCCTTTAAAAATACTCAATTACCCGTACTTTTTCTACTTTTTATCCTCTCTTTCCTACTTTTTCACCTTTTCTCCTACTTTTTCTATACTATTCATTACCCCTACTATTCTCCCTAAAATCTTGTGCCATAACCTAACGTAGGGATCTTTTAAATACGGAGGGAGTATAAACCTAGATTCATGGCAATAAACCTATCATATACTATGTAACATGTTCTAGCCCTTTCTATTATAGGGGGAACAATTGGTTCCTATTTTCATTGGAAAATACCAAACAAAAAACTGAGGAATTAGAGTTAGGTATAAGCATAGAGCATAGGTAAAAATTAAAGACATACATCGTAGCCGCCCTAAAATGAAAAGCAGAATTTCCAAAAATCGAAGACTCCCAAAACTAACTACATAATTGGAAGCACTTACATTTCTCCTGTCCCAAAGAACTGCACAAAATACTTTTTAGGATCAGGAGGTTTCTTCCAGTCCTCAGGTCTACTAATCTGGAAATTTAAAATAAACAATTATTAATAATCAACTTGACTAAAAAAGAAGTAAAAGGCAGCCATGTATCATGAACACTAAGATACTGATAAAACAAGGCAACCATGCACCATGAACACTAAGATACTGAACAATTGCACTGTCCACAATAACAATTAAAACCAAAAAAGTTTGAAAGGTACAAAAATTGTCAGATGAGACAAATCAGTCACTGTATAAGAAACACCATATCTCACATTAGCAAATTAAACATAATTTAAATAGAATCTTTAGCGACATATGAATGATATGATTAAGAAGCCCATAAATGGCCATTCTTAAGACGTTATACGGCCAGAGATAAAATTAAAAAGAAAACAGCATAACCTCCGACAATTATAACTAAGGTGCATTTTGAGAGACAGCAAAACATCAAAACGCACAAATGAGTCTTGTGGTAATCACATATGTACCATTGTATTTCCTCATGGAGGTAGTTAAAATTAACATTTTAAACAGTGAAGAACTAAATCATCATCATCATCTAGGAAACATTTCTAAGGCTAACCGCAACTCTCTCGATCTCTCCGTCAATTCAGTTTCTTCCTGCAATCCAACACTGTCAATATATTCACCCAACAAAGTTATTTTTTAATTAAAGCCTTAATTTTATTATTACACATCAATTTTTTGCCAATTTCTTTTGCAAACAAATTTTGATTTAAAAAGTCAAACAGTGCGATGTAAAAATAAATAAATTTGGAGTTCAGTTTTTTACCTATTTTGAAAAAAAATCTGAAAATGTATGTAAAGCAAAAAATTTAACCATTAGATTTTAATTTTAACACTTGGATCTGTTTAAAAAAAGTATGGGGTCTGACAACATCCAACCGCTGAAACTTCATGTTTTTTAAAAAGTTTATATATGCAATATTGGTGTCATATAAAAGATTATAAAAAGTTATGAATTTTGATATACTTTTTGTAAAATATGGAGCACAAACAAAAACGTTTAACGCTTCAAAGAAAAAAAGAGATTTTTATTTCTCATGGGTCCCGCATAACTGCCATTTCAGCTGACTCTCTTCTCTCCTTTGGTTCCGTACGGTGAATAGAGGGTGCTTCCTATCCAACCTTGGGGTGCCATGAACCCACTATAATACCCTTCTATACAATATTTTCTATGGGTTGCAGCACGCTTTGGGGTGAATACCTCAAATTTAGGGTTTTCACCCCTTGGGTTTTGGACAGCCTCAAGCACGCCTAGTGGGTAATAGCCTTAGTTCCTTACATACTACAGTCTATAGATGGCACGAACCATGCCCCATATTCTAAACTAGATGATTACTTTTATGTAAAATTCCACTTCAAGACCTCTGCCATTATAAGAATCATAGGAGTATCTCAAATGTTTGCACAATAAGTCTATAAATAGTTTTCACTTTTCACAAATATGACAAACATTAGTGCACATTTAGCCTATAATACCGCAAAAAAGGAGTTTTGACATCTAGCATTAACTTTTAACAAACCTTATGATATGAAGCCGGAAGAGCATGTGGCGGGACCGGACTTGGGCCCACTTCCGTGGGCCAGTTACGGGCTGTTTAATTAATATTTATTATTCATTTTATTTTGTTTCCTAATTTAATTTGTTTCCTAGTAGGATTTATTTAGGACTTCTATTCTTACTAGAATTAGAGGTTTCCTATTTCTATTTAGTTTCCTAGAATGATTTAATTAGGAGTTCTATTAGAACTAGAGGTTTCCTATTCTATTTAGTTTCCTAGAATAATTTAATTAGGATTCCTATTCTTATTAGACCTAGAGGGTTATTTATACCCCTTGTATGCTTCATTCTTGATCATCTGGAATAAAAGTTTGGTTTAGCCTTTTGGCTTTGGGCAACGATATTTATTTATCGTTGATTATCTGGGCAACGGTTCACCCCGTTGATTTTACTTTTCTGTTTCTATCAATTGGTCCGACCTGCCGGATCCCCGTCCCGCCAAGATGACAAGAACTCAGAACGAACGACTGACGGAATTGGAGGCTGAACAGGCCCTGGTAAATCAAAAGCTCGATTCACAAGGAGAGAAACTGGATGTACTGGCTCGGAAACAAGAGGAGCAGGCCGCTCGGCTTGCGGAAATCGCAGAATCCCTGGCAGCAATCGCAAAGGCCATGGTACCGCCAGCGAAGTCTCCAAGCACGACCATCGAGAGCGGCTCCTCCGCCCACATCGTGACTGCTTTCACCGACGAGGGCGGACCGCGCAGCGCATCCACGACACTACTTCCCTCATTCGACGGTGAAGACCCAATTGGGTGGCTGGCAAGAGTGGAGCAGCAGTTCGAGCTCAACAGGACCCCACCGGATAGACAAATTGCAGCGGCTAGGGTTTCTATGGAAGGGGCAGCCCTCTATTGGGTGACATGGTTAAAGGCGCGCAAACCCGGCATATCCTGGGAGGAATTTAAGCAAGCCTTGGTGGCTAGATTTGATTCCCGATATCAAGGAAACAGATTTGAGCGGCTAGCTGGCGTTAAACAAATTGGGCAAGTGGAAGATTACAATACTTTGTTTGTACAACTCGCCAGTCAAGTACCCGGATTAACTGACGATCATTACTTGGGCTATTACATGAGTGGGCTTAAGGAGATAATCCGAAGCTCGCTGCGATTACTTCGACCAAACAACCTGGAGATGGCTATGGAATTAGCTCGCGAAGTGGAGTATAATCTGTCCGTCCAAAGTGGAGAAAGTGGCAGCCTGAATTATCATTCTTCGGGGGTACGTTCCATCAGTTTTGTAAGGGCAAACACGGGTCCCCCGTTGACTGCCACTGGTGGCAGCTTACAGGGCTCAGGGGGCAGCTTTGCGAAGGATAGTGGACAGCCTCCGGGGACAAAGTCAGGGCTGTCTGGGCAGCCTACGACACGATCCCAGTTCACCCGTCTTGCGCCAAAAGAGTTAGCAGATTTGAGGGCAAAAGGATTATGCTTTAGATGCAAGAAACCATTCACGCCAGGGCATGATTGTCCCTTTAAGCAGCTGCGGGAAAAGATAGCCGAGGAGGATGAAGAGTTGGACCTCAAGCAGCATGAATTCTGCGAAATAACCGGCCAGGAAAGGGTTCATGAAGGAGAAGAAGGATATTTTCCAGTCTATACTATGTCTGGAAATTTCAGCTCCCAATCAGCGAGTTTTCAACCTTGAGGACAAGGTTATTTTAAGGGGGGTGGATTGATATGAAGCCGGAAGAGCATGTGGCGGGACCGGACTTGGAAGCTGTTCCGTTCACCTGATCTGAATGTTTCTGATCTGAATTTTTTAAGTTCTGATCTGATCTGATCTGAATTTTTCTGATCTGATCTGATCTGAATCTTTCTGATCTGATCTGATCTGATCTGAATCTTTCTGATCTGATCTGAATGTTGCTGAACTGATCTGAATGTTGCTGATCTGATCTGATCTGATCTGAATGTTTCTGATCTGATCTGAAAGTTTCTGATCTGATCTGAATTCTTCTGATCTGAATCTTTCTGATCTGATTTGAATATTTCTATAATTGTAATTATAATTATAATTATTAGATTTATAATTGTAATTAAAAATATAACTTAAATAAAATTACAATTATAATCATAATTATAAAAAAACAATAATTAAAATTAAATTTAAAATTATAATAATTATACTAATTACACTAATTATAAGTACGATACAATTATAAATGTAATTATATTTTTAATTATGATTAATTTTATAATTATTATTTTAATTATAATTATAATATTTATTTCTATAATCATAATTATATCTATAATTACTAATTTAAATATATAATTACTCCGAAGTAATAATAATTACAACAATAACAACAAGAACAACAATCATATTAATAATAATGATGATTATAATTATAATTACATTGTAAATCATAATTATAATTATAATTATAAATATATTATACTATATTATATTATATTATATTATATTATATTATATTATATTATATTAGATTAGATTAGATTAGATTAGATTAGATTAGATTAGATTAGATTAGATTAGATTAGATTAGATTAGATTAGATTAGATTAGATTAGATTAGATTAGATTAGATTAGATTAGATTAGATTAGATTAGATTAGATTAGATTAGATTAGATTAGATTAGATTAGATTAGATTAGATTAGATTAGATTAGATTAGATTAGATTAGATTAGATTAGATTAGATTAGATTAGATTAGATTAGATTAGATTAGATTATATTATATTATATTATATTATATTATATTATATTATATTATATTATATTATATTATATTATATTATATTATATTATATTATATTATATTATATTATATTATATTATATTATATTATATTATATTATATTATATTATATTATATTATATTATATTATATTATATTATATTATATTATATTATATTATATTATATTATATTATAATAATAATTTTATATTATTAACATTATTATTATATTATTAATAATATTATTATATTAATATATTAATATTATTATTAATAATTATAATATAATAATCATAATTAATATATTAATAAAAGTGATAAATCATGTTTGAATTTTTTGATCTGATCTGATCTGATCTGATCTGAATGTTTCTGATCTGGTCTGAATCTTTCTGATCTGATCTCAATGTTGCTGATCTGATCTGAATGTTGCTGATCTGATCTGAATCTTTCTGATCTGATCTGAATGTTTCTGATCTGATCTGATCTGATCTGAATCTTTCTGATCTGATCTGATCTGAATCTTTCTGATCTGATCTGATCTGAATAAAATAAGATTAAGGAATAAGTAATAAGATAAAGACGAACGGAACAGCTTCTTGGGCCCACTTCCGTGGGCCAGTTACGGGCTGTTTGATTAATATTTATTATTCATTTTATTTTGTTTCCTAATTTAATTTGTTTCCTAGTAGGATTTATTTAGGACTTCTATTCTTACTAGAATTAGAGGTTTCCTATTTC